CAAAAATCACACCTAAACCAGTTGATAGTGCCGAGATATGCATATTCCAAGTTTGCGATGTCACGTCGCTAACGAATGATTTTACCCATATATATATTTTTTGAAATGAATTGTTTAATGTATATTTTTGTTTTATTTTCGTTTTTTAGGAATTCCACCATATTTAGCTGCTAGTTGGTTTAGTAGTAATAGTGTTTCAACAGTAACAGCTATTGCCGTTTTTGGAAATCAAGCAAGTAAAATAAATGATTGATTAATAGAATTTTATTTGTTTTTGTTTTCGTTGGAACGATAAATAGGTTGGTATTGCACTTGGATTTTTGATACCAAGTAGATTAATACCTGATGTAGCAGATCTTGTTTTAATTGGACAACGTTTAAGAATTTTATATTATGTTGTAGCTTTTGTTTGTATTTCTTGTTTCATTGCTATGGTCATTGGTAAGTTGAAGATATTATGATTTTATATCTTTAGTAAAAATGTTATGTTTTTTGAAAGTTTTTCAACGTCTCCCTCCAACACCACCATCACGAGCACAAGAAATAGCTCTTCAACGTTCTGAACAAAATTATGTACAAACATTGAAACGTTTATTAACTAATCGATGGTTTCTTCTATTATTACTTTCTTATGGTTTTTCTTTTTCTATGAAAAATTTCGTTTTTTTTTTGTCTAAATTCAATCTTTTATTATTTTATAGGTCTTAATACCGGTACTTTCTATTCTATATCAACACTTTTAAATCCTATTTATATGTGGTATTTTGATGTAAATCAATCAATAAGGAAAAAAAAAAGAACAAAAAAAAATTAAATTTGATTTTTCTAATAGAAAAAAACTGACCAAGCTAGTACATATGCTGGTACTATTGGTATGTTATTAGTAATTGGTGGTATTTTTGGTAGTCTTCTTGGTGGCTATATTTTGGATAAAACAAAGGCATATAAGTATGTGTAGAAATATTTTATTTTATTAAAAAAGTATAAACATTCAATATGTGTTTTGTTTTTTGACTTCATTAAATATAGAACAGTAACTTTTGGTGTTTATGTTCTTTCATTTTTATCTATGGTATTGTTTATATCAACTATAAGTTTGCATCAATATGTTGCTTTTGTTACAATGACAATAGTTGGGTAAGAATTTATCTGTAATAATTTATTGATACCGAAATTTCGTTACAAATAATGAATTAATAATATCAGAGACTAATATTGAGACGAGTTGGTCCATGAAATATTATTATCGTTTTTGTCATTTAGTCAAAATAATATTGAGATTTGTTTAAGAAAAAGTCGAGATTTATTAAGATTTAACTAAATGTAAATCAAAAGTAACTATGGTATATTAAAGAGATCTCTTCTATGTTTTCACAGATTAATCTGTGCATATTTATAACAAGTCTATTTTTGTTTTGAGTAAGATAACGTAAAAGTTGACTGTAATAGATCATAAATGATGATAATGAGTCTTAAAGAAAAAAAAAAAAGTAAAATATCTTATCTATTTCGAATCCTGGAGAATTATTCTTTCCTTTTGTATCTCGATTAAATATGAAAAATATTATAAGATCTACTTATTTTACAAATAATTGTTTGATAAATTAACTTAAATCTGTCGATAAAATTGCTACTATGTTTGAAAAGAATGAATCATTTTGAAAACATAACCGCTTTAAATTCATCTATGATTTAACTTTTACTATTGTATTGTTATCTATTTCGTTTTATTTCATTAACTAAATCTAATTTTTAATAATTATATTTGTATAATAACTGAAATGTATAAGTTAATCTCATAAATTTAGAGTTTTCATATGATGCATTTAGTTTCAATCTTGTTTCTAAAAGTTATTCTTGCTAAAGAAAAAGTATGAAAGGAAAATTTCAAATATTCTTTTCAAGGAAACCTAATAAAAAAAAAATAATCATATTATTTTCTATGTTATATTGAAAAAACAATGTTATATACTAGAGATGCACTTATTCCTTTATTCTTCGAGTGAGATTTGATTGATTTTGATTGTTATTATTGTCCTTGACGACATATGTGATTAAAAAAACTGTCGAAAATCGCTAAGAATCTTGAGTTTTTTGATCGATTCTGATATCTTTTAACTGTATATAGCATTAGATAGAAAGATTAAATTTGACTAACGAGAGAATGTTTTTAAGTGTCAAATGGCTTTTGAGTCGAGACTATGTGCATCATATAGATTCTAATGAATTATGAATATCCTGAAAATAGTTCGGACTAAAACCTTATGACTGCCTAAATATCGTATTTTTAAATAGAATGCTGTGGTACTTAGTTTCGAATTTCGACTTGAAATTTTGCATAAAGACAGGTCTTAATAACAATAGTTTATTATAAAAGTTTTAGATCTTTTGATTGTTTCTGTCCTAAGATACGACTATAGTAAAAGTATGTTTTTCACGTCACTCATATATGATGACAAATTCCGATGTTCTTATTTCAGACTAGATACAATCAAAAAATCTGAAATTTTCACAATAAACTATTCTTATTAAGATCTATCTCTATGTAAAGTTTCAAGTCGAAATTCGAAACTCAGTTTTTCTGAGAAGAATTACGACAGTCATTTACAAAATGCAGTAAAAGTGCAGTATCTCTGCAACAATAAGCTAAGGAAATGAACTCTTTTTGTGGTATTCATAGCTCATTACAATCTACATGATATACATAGTTTCGACTCAAAAGTAATTTGACACATAGAAACCCTCCGTTACAGATCTCACTCTAACAATTGACAGGAATCGAGAGTTCTAATTACCAATTGCAACAAAATAAAAGAAATAGGATTTGATACAAATCCTATCATATATACTGAATAATCTTCTAATATTTTCTTTTTAATTCTAAGAATTATTATCATTATTATAAATTGATCGATCAATTATTTTTCTTTTTCTTAGGTTTTTTATGACAGGTTATTTACCTGTTGGTTTTGAATATGGTGTTGAAATAACTTATCCAGAGAACGAAGCTATATCAAGTAGTTTATTGAATGTTAGCGCACAGGTTAATAAATTAAAAAATGAATCAAGAAATAAAAAATAAGAATAGAATTGTTAATGTTAAAATTTTTTGTTTTTTAGATATTTGGTTTATGTATAACGCAATTACAAGAATATTTAATATTTAAAAAA